TTCAGGTACTGCACCAGCACCTCGATCTCCGACGTGTTGAAGAACGAGGGGCTCTTGGCCTCACGCCGATCTTCCCCGCAGACCCCGTGGAAGATGATGGGGAAGCCCTGGGGGATGGAGAGCGTTGGGCTCAGCTCTGTCTGAGGCCAGAGTTCCCCCCCACACTTCTCCCTCACTTTTTTGGGGAGCTCCTCCCAGGCACAATAGAAACTGCGGACATCGAGCTCGATGCTCTCGCAGGCCTTCAGCTCGCTGTCGTAGAAGAGCTCATTGGGGACGCGGAGGATGGCCTCGTGGGACCTGCAAAGGCAGGACAGTGTCCGGGGAGGGGTCCAGGATGTGCACCCCCTTCCTGCAGCACCCAGGGTACCACAGGGCTCTGGGGAGTGGATCCCAGGGTGCACGAACAGAACCTGCCCCAGCCCTGTCCCCACCTGTAGTTCCAGAGCAGTTTGGTGACGAACTCTGAGTCGTAGCCCCCATTCGTCCTCGCGTACAGGGGGTTGTGGAGCATCAGCCTCTCCAGCAGCGAGGTGCCTGCGCCCAGACAGACCCCATGGCTCCCTGCAGGGCTGCTCGGCCCCTGGGTGCTCTTGGTGCTCCCACCCCTCTCCCCGCTCACCCAAGCCGTGCTCGATGGCCAGCGGCGACCTCAGGACGGGGCCCAGCTGCTGGGGGTCCCCTGCCAGCACCAGTTGTCCCCCGTTGGGGTTGGTCTCTGGGTCCATGGTTGTCAGAAGCCCTGGGAAAGGCAGAGATCAGCAGGGAACAGGAGGGTCCCCAGGCCATTGGGGGGACGCTGGTTCCCATGATAGCAGCCAGGAGCCACTCACCCGCTATGGCAACCACGCTCTCTGTCTCCACAGCCTGGCCGCACTCATCGATGAAGACGTGGGAGAAATACCCCGAGGGGAAGTTGGCTGATGCCAGCCTGGGAGAGAGGTGGAGTGAGGCCACCTTGGCACTCCTGCCCTGCCCAGCCGTTCTTCCTCCCCTCGCCCTCATCCTCACTACCCCCCTACTGCCTGCCCCTCTCCACACCCCCTCCCCACTGCGCCCCACAGCCCGGCGCAAGGCAGCCCCCGGGTGTGGGTGGTGGGGACACCCCCAGGTCCTCTGACCTTCCCGCTGTCACCAGTGTGGTGATGAGGATCCGGTAGCGCTCCAGGTCCTTCTTGCTGGGGTAGACATAGCAGCTCTGCCTCTCGTCCCAGTTGCAGCAGGGCTGAAACACGGGTGTGCGGTGGGATCCTGCCCTCCCCAGGAGCTGCTGGAACTGGGGGCAGGGACGGGGGGCAGGACTTACCCTGATGTCGGCAGGCACCTCCTGGTAGCTCCTGGAGCTGGCCATCAGCCTGTAGATGTCCCGGGGGGCGATGTCCTTGATGAGGCGCTGGCACAACAGGTCTGCTGCGCTGTTGGAGGGGGCGCAGGCCAAGATCCGGGCGTCCTTGAAGCACGTCCATACCTGAGTGGGAGGGGGTGATGGTGCTGAGCCTCAGGTCCAGGGTAGGCAGCGATGCCCAGGGCTGGACTTGAGTGCTCACCTGCTTGATGGCTTCCACCAGGGTGACTGTCTTGCCAGTCCCAGGGGGGCCAAAGATGAGGTACGGGGCTGGCCTGGACACCCCGGTCACGATGTGCATCACGGCTCGGCACTGCTCCTCGTTCGCCTGCAGCTTGCGGTCGAACCACCTGCGGCACCAGTGGCTGAGCACTCCGGGTCCTGTCCCCTCCCATCCCCTCCTGTTCCCCCCATCACCCTGTCCTGCAGCGTGGGGCTCACCGGGGCTGGAAGGCGTCTGTGAAGAGGGACTGGTGGCAGGAGGCAGTGGGGAAGAGGAGGCTGGACAAGCCCTGTGGCAT